ATCGAATCTCTGATAAGTTTGATTATGTTTGTAATATGAATAACATCCTGAGAAATTGGAAAAAAAGAACAACCTCCTTTGAGTTGTGTTTTGCAGAAAGAGCCAGCTTCGTTCTCTTTCTCTCCTACTGGTAGAAGAATTTGTGCTTGGTGGAGTTCTCAGTTAGATTTTGATTTCCAGATCCAAACCATAAACTTGTCTGTTTCATTAATCTATTGCTCAGCCACAAGAAGAATATTCAGATTGGAGACTAATGAGGAACAGAGAGAATATTGCAAGAACATAAATTTGAAACTATATTATGAATTCAATTTGAAACTCTAGATGAGTACTTAAAACAATTTACTGTAGATTATAACTAAACAAGGAAAAAACAGAGAGAGAGACTCTAATGTAAAAACCAAATACAGAAACGAATACTTAGTGATGGGGTTGAGCTCCGAAGCTGCGTAACCACTTGTTGAGGCGGTCCATAGGTGACAAGTCCATCTTCTTTGTAAGATCGGGGACTGAAACGTCTTTGATTGATGGTCCGACCACGACTCGTAGCTTAAGCCCAGCATAGCAGTGCCCGGTGGTCTTTGAGCTAATGAAATAATGGACTCCTGGTTTTGTGAGCCTTACGAGATCATGTCCTGTCTTGTGCACAGCAACAGGTGAAGTCGGGTCGCATGATATGAACTCAAGATCACCGCTGATTTCTAAAACATCGTTGACTTGGTTGTTGTAATCGAAAAACAGAGAGTCTCCGACATGAAACTGTTTCTCCTCGCTCCACTTGTTGTAGAAGTCACTGTCGTAAACATTCCATCCTTTGGAGTCACCGACCTTGTAGTACTTTCCAAAAGGATAGATCTTGCTCGGTGGTGGTGGTGGAACCGGNCGTGACGGGTCATGGACGACAAGAACGTCGAGCTTTTGTCCGGATACGCATTGAGCATGGTTTGAGCTGATGAAGTAGTGAAAACCTGGTTCCGTGAAGGTCACGGTATCGTGTCCCGTGTTGTNGACGGCTTTAGGAGAAGAGAAGTCACAAAACTCGTACTCCAAAGCGCCTGAGACTTGAGTCACGTCGTTGAAGTTGGGATCGTATTCGAAGACGAGTGAGTCTCCGACATGGAATTCTGTACCCTTGGCCCAATCATAGTAGGCATCGTCCTTCGCAGTCCATCCATCGGAGTCTCCGACTTTGTAGACCGTAGCCGAGCAACAACCCAAGAGAACCGTGAAGATCACGAGAATGAAGCAGAAGAAGATCTTCTTTGTTGTAGCCATGATTCGATGGTATAGACGAAGAAGAATAAGAAATATGATGAATCAGAGAATCTTGTGTGAATGTGAATGAAGAGCTTACAATACTTGATCTCCTTATATAAGCTTTTACTGACGGTACCTAATCCATTTCTTCTTAGGATCTTTCTTTTACTAATTTATTTCCTTTTCTTAATTAACACACAGATTTTAAACATATAAATTATTTGGATCCTTTTTGAACTTGGAATCACCCCTTACCTTGAAAATCAAATGACGGTGTAAGTTTTATTGTATCAAATCAAATTTTGGATAAGATTTCTTGATATGCATAATAAACACAAGAGTGAATCAAATTTTCAGGTCCAACAAGAAAGNTATTTTCCTTTATTCTCATGTTTNACATGTCATTCTCTGTTTCATTCTTTTATCTTTATTATCCAAAAGATGTGANTACAATTTCATACTCTTAGCTTGATTGGCATCTCTGAGTTTTACCCTCAAGACAATCAATATGATTAGAGTTTCTTTTGCTAATCTGAGATTAAGGAAGAATCAGAGGAAGATGATGTTAGATCACAGTCACAACATTGGATAATTGCAAACTTTGTCTTTATTCATTTATTATGTTGTGTTCAAACAAAAGAAAGTGAAACCTCTCGGTTCCTACAAAATTTGGAAGAGATTTTCCATCTTTAAAAGACAATGCGTACTCATCGTGGATGAATTTTTTTCCTTATTTCTCTGTTTTGGTCCGAATCGAAGATGAGGGAAAATAATCTAACTAGTTTCTTCACCTAATGTAGCTGAACTTTCATTTTTCTGGAGACACTGAGGATACTTGAAAGGGAGCTTTATGAGAGGTTTATCATCACACAATCCTTGACTCGCCATACCTAGCGAACAGCAACAGCATTTCCAACCTGAATGTACCTGTTACATCAACCCAGTTCATTGCCAGAATCAC